GAGTGTATCTACCTAATATAAATGTTCAGCTCATATGCCTGTCTTTTGTTTGGCTGGAAGCCACAGGAGTGGGTTCAGTTCCAGACCTGAAGGGCAGCTAGGGCCCATAGTCTCAGGGGTTCCATCAGTTTCTATCAGACCAGCAAACATGGTCCTTTTTTTTTTTTTAATGATTTAAAATTCCATTGCTCTTTTGGCCTTCTTGCATGAGTGTCACCTCCTCCTTCTGCACTTGACAGAACACCCATGACAGCAGGAGGCTGGCTTTGGATCTAAAATAAGACATATGTTCCATTAGCTCACACAGTAATTTAAAACAATTAATCTTGAACTTTAGCTAGCTTATCCTCATTGAGGTTTGTCACATATGCCACCAATTCATGCCATTTCACCAACTTAGGTCCCTTTCCTCTCTCCTCTAGGCTTTTGCATCTTTGGCCTCTCTCTATAATACCCAACCTTCAGTAGGGTAAGGATGGAAGTATAACCCTTTATGCCTTATATCATAATATGCCTAGAATCAACTAAACTAACAACCATACCAAACCCATTGCCATTGAGTCTGTTCTGACTCATAGCAACCCCCTTTGTCCAAGGCAGTAGATCTTTACAGAAGGAGGCTGGACTGTCTTTCTTCTGTGGAGTCGCTAGTGGGTTTGAGCTGCCAACCTCTGGTTAGCAGTCAAATGCCATAGGTACTGCACCACCAAGCTCTTTTGGATAGACAAAGTTGCTCCTGAAATCGACAAATTAATGACTATAAATAATATTTGAACCATATTTAACAATTCAAAATAGTAAGAATATTTGTTTTGTTAATGCAAAATAAACACCTATGGTGTTAATGAAAGGCTGTTATAAATTTCACAGAATTGATGTCCAGTGACAGAACGAGGAAAGTGGGAGGGATGGGAAGTAAGGGTGAAGGGTGGAAGTGGGCATAGGGAGAAAGTGGAAGGAATGCTGTTACACTGTGGGTCTTTCAGTACATATCACAAGACAAAATGTTTATAGATTGTTGAATGGAATATGCACTGTACAAACTTTCATCTAAATCACA